CAAAGCATTTACTGTTTTACACCAGGAAAAGAGAAACTTTGAGCACCCTCTACTGCTAATCTCACTGGGATCCTCATAGCCTAATATACTGAACGCTAAATATTTGACTGAAGGCCACTGTGAAGCCTGTGAACAGAGTTAACAGATGTGATTATACTGAAAGCCATAGAAACGTTTGGAAAGTCACTTCAGGCTAAACCCAAGTAAATTAGGAAAGTTGAAAATTAAGGCCAGATAATGCCACAACCCATTAAATCTTCCTTTAAATGTAAAAGTTAGTCACTATTCTTTCATCTGCTGTCCTAATTTCCTTCCTAATATAAAATTCCAAGAAAAAAAAGGTCTGAAAAAGAATTTTTTTCTTGCTGTATCTTGTATGTCACTCCTGAACATCTGTTTTAGACTAGTTTAAGCTTCATTAGTATCACATTTAAAATGTAAATAATTATCTTCTCTAATAGGCATCCAGCCAGGGCCCATTACCTATATGTTAGTTCGACTTTCCTAGTGTTTTCTTTCTTATTTTCCAGTCACTTATTTCAACACTATAAGCCCAAACAAGTGTTTGATCTACCATATCAGACCTCAGACCACTGCTGCTTAGTTGGGTCTTTTAGTCATTTTCAAATGAACTTTTATCGTTCTTAAAGGTAAGACAAGGCTGGGTTTTAGTTTGGGCTTAGAGATCTGGGGATCATGGGAGTTGCTGGTGCAATTAGTGGAGCTGGGAGGTACAGCTGAAGCAATTGTCCAACATCTTGAGAAGCAAAGGCAGCAGGTGTGTCTTCCTCATTTCCTGATTCTCTCTGAGCCATGGCTCTGACCACGAAGGGTGGGAATTTGAGAATGACAAAGCGAGCTTTCTAAAGTGAGCTTTAGAAATATTGTCCCACACACAGACTCAGAAAACACGATTCATGGAATAAATGGACCCAAGGGATTTTTTTTTCTTTTTTAAATTGCATCATGGTTAGGTTTTTGAGAAAATATATTTGGCTGTAATGTGGTTTAGGAAAGAGACCATTTTTAATAGGTTGGGAGGGGAATTCCCTCCAGGTTTGTCTACTACCTAATTATTTATAGATGAGTTATTTTAAAAATGGCCACTGTGAGCATTTGCCTCATTCAGTTCACCATACTTATGGTTCCAAGAATCTAGGTGTACCTTTTCTCTAATCTGTCTATATATTGTTTAAGCACTAGTATTGTGCTTAATATTAACCATGTATGGAGAAGTAGCGAGAGAAAAAAATATGGTGAAAAGGAAATCACAATGTAATAGTATTAGCTTGAGATAGAGTTTGGGGCATAAACATTCATAGCAACAAAACATGGAAGCATAATAAATTCACCTAAGTCCCTGAAACATTTTTGTTTCAGAGGAATCTAACAGGGAGGGGGCGGGGGAGGAGATGTACTATGGCTAAAGCTTCATTTCCTGCCAGTGTGTGTGTTTGCATTGGTACGAAATGTTCATTTTCCTTTAAGTCCCAAACGTTACTTAGTCTGGCTGCCAGGTAAAGAAAGATACTAGTCTAGACATAATGATGGCTGGAAAATTTTTTAAATAATCTCAGATTTATGCCCCAAGACTTTAACCTCATATCTCTTCCTTAGAAAAGCTCCTGGGGAAATGTGAAAAGATTATTTATCTGCCAAAAGGGACAAAATTAAGCCAACCTATTCTCAGTTGTGACACCCCACAGCTTCCTCCCTCAGATATTTAATTAATCATTAATTATTAATGGAACTCAAATTAGTTTCATTAATTCTGCTCTTACCTTTATTATTCCTTTCTTCAACTCTCTTTGGGTTTCCCCTTTTTACTTTTTTTTTATATAAGTTTATTTTTTAGTTATTCTTGGCTGCATTGGGTCTTTGTTGCTGCGCGCGGCTTTCTCTAGTTGCGGCACGCGGTCTTCTCATTGCAGTGGCTTCTCTTATTGCAGAGCTCGGGCTCTAGGTGCGTGGGCTTCAGTAGTTGTGGCTCGTGGGCTCTAGAGCGCAGGCTCAGTAGTTGTGGCGCACAGGCTTAGTTGCTCCGCGGCATGTGGGATCTTCCCGGATCAGTGTTCAAATCCGTGTCCCCTATATTGGCAGGCAGTTTCTTAACCACTGCACCACCAGGGAAGCCCTCCCCTTTTTTCTTACTTTCTAACTTCTTTATCTGAATATTTAGCTCTTTAAGAAACTTGATTTCGTAAATATATGTAGAATCTTCAACACAGCAAAGACAGAATATACTTTCTTTTCAGATACATGGAACATTTACTACCACTGACATTGGGCTATGTCCCAAAGGAAGTCCCAACACATTTCAAAGAGAACACATACAAAGCAATTGAATTGAAAATAAATAATAAAAAGAAAAAATATTTTTGGAAACTGAAAAGTGCACTCCTAAATAACTCATAAAATAAAAAGGAAAGCACATAGAAAATGCAAAATTCAAAATTGCCCAAGAGAATAAAGACACAGACCTACTAGAGAATGGACTTGAGGATATTGGGAGGGGGAAGGGTAAGCTGTGACAAATGAGAGACTGGCATGAACATATATACACTACCAAACATAAAATAGATAGCTAGTGGGAAGCAGCCGCACAGCACAGGGAGATCAGCTCTGTGGTTTGTGACCACCTAGAGGGGTGGGATAGGGAGGGTGGGAGGGAGGGAGACACAATAGGGAAGAGATATGGGAACATATGTATATGTATAACTGATTCACTTTGTTATAAAGCAGAAACTAACACACCATTGTAAAGCAATTATACTCCAATAAAGATGTTAAAAAAAAAACAAGTTGCCCAAGAGTGAAAGCTACCACACGCCAAATCTCACGGGAGGTAGCTACATTAGTATATAGAAGAAATTCTATAGCCTTAGGTGTATTTATTTAAAAACAAGAAAAACTGAAAATAAGTGAACATTCAACTCAAAAAACTAGAAGGGGAGAAGCAGAATACAGCCTCATGACATTAAAGAAAAAATTGAAAATAAGGAGAAATTAACAAATCCATAACTATAAGATAAAATTTTAACAGACCTTTATCAGAAAGTGAAAGATCAAATGGATGGAAAGCAATTAGGAGTAGAGAATATGTAAACATATAACTAAAAAGAGTTCCAAGAACCTGGTTTTATCCCCACATCAAGAGGAACCCTTCAATTTCCTTTTAGCTCCCCTGGAGCCAAAGAACCAACTGCCATGTCTACCCTAGACCTGGAGCCCTCAGGCCTGCAGCCCAGCTCTACTCTGGCTCTGCATTTCTATTCTGTGTCTGGACCACAGGTGGCTTGCCCTATTTTTGCTTGTGTTGTTTAATCGCAACTACGTATTTTTTAGTCTCCTACTTTCATTTACTTTTCTCTTCTTTTGATTTCTTTTTTATTTTATAGGTATTTTTGATAGTTTATGTGTCATTGTTATATGTTTGAAGCAGAGGAGATACACGGAAGCATAAACTCACTGTGTCATCTTGACCAGAAGTTATGACTTTTAAATTTTTTTAAATTTATTTTTAGTTTTGAATTGGCAATACATGTACATAGCAAAACATTCCAATCAAGAGATATGGAATACATAATCATGTTTTACATGCCATTCCCAGCAGATGATAAATAATCTCACAGAACAACTTCTGTATACCAACTGGTTAAATTCACCGATTATCAATTTTATCACATGATAAGGTATTTGTTATTTTTTCTATACCATTTTTCCTTCAAAATAAGCCCTGGGCTTCCCTGGTGGCACAGTGGTTGAGAATCTGCCTGCCAATACAGGGGACACGGGTTCGAGCCCTGGTCTGGGAAGATCCCACATGCTGCAGAGCAATTAGGCCCGTGAGCCACAACTACTGAGCCTGCGCGTCTGGAGCCTGTGCTCCGCAACAAGAGAGGCCGCGGCAGTGAGAGGCCCGCGCACTGCGATGAAGAGTGGCCCCCGCTAGCCACAACTAGAAAAAGCCCTCGCACAGAAACGAAGACCCAACACAGCCAAAAATAAATAAATAAATTAAATTAAATTAAAAATAAGCCCTGAATCTAGTCCTCTCTTTACTAGCCTCTGTTCCAACAGCCTTTCTAGTCCCCCGCAAGCTTAAATATCACATCTTTCCTAGCCATGATGCTTTGACCATGATGTTTCTCTTCCTCTTGCCTACCAGTGCTTTCTTACCACTCCTCGCTGAAATGCACATCCTTGGAACAACCTCCTCATCCCAAATCCCTGCACTTTAGTGACTAAAAATCTCTAAGAAATATTCCCTGATTAAACCACATTCACCTTTCATCCCAGACTTTCTTTACATCTATATATGTATGTTGGATTATGATTTATCAGTCTCTATAAAGTATATGTTCACTGATTGGAATACATGTTTTCAACACTCCAACGTTAGGGAGTCAACAGTAAAATGGAAAGTGCCTGGGGTTTGGAGCCAGACAGACCCACACTTAGGTGCTAGCTCCATTACTGCGTGATCCTGGGAAAGTAACTTTGTCTCTCTGAGTCTTCTTTGTCAGTAAATTGGGGATGATAATACCTAACGTCCAAGTCATCATGAGGACAAAATGAAACAATGTGCATGTAAAAGTCCCGTACAGTGGCGGGCACATAGTTGTTTCTCAATACATAATAATTTCCTCCCTTTCCTGCCTTCCATATGTTTCTTGAGCTTATTACCCATTAGGCTTTAAGCTGCTTTAGCATCAGGAACTTCTTCCAGCTAAAAGCACTGGCTCAGAGTTCCTACAAAATGGATACTCAGGTGTGTGACGAAAATGTACACACCCAACCTCCTTCCCTGCTGCTCTATCACCGCTCCCACCAGGGCCACCGAGCCACTCAAAGAAACATCACCTCTCAAAGGTCCACATTCTCACTACCAGCAACACATCAGAAGGAAGCCTCTGGGTTCTACAGCAAAACACCCACCAATCAAAGAGAGAAGGTTATCAGTGGCGATACCAGGTACATTAATTGGAGGCCCAACTCACCTGCCAGAACCAGCTTCCCTGAAGTAGGAAAAAGCTTATCCGCAGAAGTTCCACAGTTATATTGGTCAGTATGAACAGCTCCAAGAAGGCAATGAGGCCTGTCAAAAAGATGACCAAGACCAGAAGCTTGTGCACAAAGATGTCCAGCATCTCCCGACCATGAGTGTGATTGTAGAAGACAAAACCTGATACAGGGAGAAAAAATAGTTCGTCTTTTTTAATGGAACTACCTACTGTTTCTCTCTCTCTCTCTCTCTCTCTCTCTCTCTCTCTCTCTCGACACACAACTTTACAAACACACACATTTCTTTGTCCATATCAGGTGCCCACTGCTTCCCACAATAATGGAAACCTCTACCATTTTTGGAGTCACCACTACCTCTTTAGGATGGAATCTTTGAAATCTCCTTTTCCCTTCCCCAACCTTTATTCTCTCCTCCAATATGTTATGACATTTTCAACCAACTATATTTCAAAGCACCTTTATGCAAAAGGATGAATAATAAGCATGATGAGGGTAGGGCAGCAGGAGTTAGGGTGAATAGGCAGAGGAATGAGACAAAGCCTCGCCTTAAGGAATTCAGTCCACTGGAGGCAGCAGATATACACAAAAATCATAAAAGTGCACTTTGATGGGTATGACAAGATTCTCTGGAAGCTTCCAGGAAGTAGTAGCTAGCTACATTTTTTAATCCCATGGACAGATTCCGGCTTCAGCTTCATTCTTTTCATTTGGATGAGGAGGAAAGGATGTTCATTCAAAATATGGTAACATCCTGAGATAATGAGAATCATGCTTAGTTGTTGGTGCCCAACTTTTATCTAGCTCTTGTTTTCAAAGAGCGTTTGGCAAAAGCTCTTACCTTTAGACGTGGGAGGCAAGGTGGACGTTAGGAAATGACTGCCTCCTGATAAATGGGGGCTTTTTCAGTTCTATGATCAATCTATACTTTACATATGAAATAAATGAAAACAAATCATTAAATACTTGTTTTCAGTGTTTCCTTATAGAGTAACAGGGAGGCCAACTGAACAAAAAAATGTTAGGACCTCATTTTTCTGTGACTGAATTTTTTGGACCCTGCTTATCATATAATGATGGAGTTTTACTATATCAATATTAAAAAGGCTAGTTTGTAGGTATGGAAGCTACTCTGCTGTGAGTGGTCTCTTCGTTTGAGGATATATATGCTTCACTACTCTGAGCTCAGTTTCACATGTTAAAGATGGAAATAATAATAATCTCCAGGATAAACCAGAGATAAATAACCATGGTAGGTGGTTCTTTAAGACAGATGTGAAATGTGAATAAAACACATTGAATGATTGCACTTGTCCAGCTATACTAAATGAGTCAGTAGGGAAGGAAAATCTTGGGCATCCTGTCTAGGACATCTCAACAGCTCACCATGGCCCAAACAGATGGCCCTGTGGATCAAGGCTGCACCAGGACACTAAAGGAGTATTATTGTAAAGGGCTAGATAAATGTCCAATAATAGTGAAAGGTATATGAAAATACTCATACTTACCCTCCACAAATAAGGCATTTGCTAACATTAACTTGGTAAAGGAGGCAGGAAGTGACCTGATGGTGGAACATAAGATGTTTGTCACACCCAGCAGCCCAAAGAAGAAGTACATGGTAAAATGATGCCAGCCCAGGAGTTGGACCCACTGGCCCTCTTTGTAGTCATATAAGGTCAGGTGCGGTCCTCCAGGAATAAACTGTTCTCCAAGCATGCCTACGGAGGGACATATCACACTTTAAGCAATCTTTCCGTAACTTTATTGAGAAAGCAGGAAGATGCAGAAGGATCAGCCTACTGCTTACTCCAATATAGTGTCCTTTTATGACATTGATTCATCTTTCGGGGCTGTTCCCTAACAGCTGAGCACTGGTTCTTTAGGCTGGTTTTAGAGCATCAAATACTGGTTTGGATAATCACTGTTAGTCAAAGATAGCCAATTTAGTCAAACAGCTATTTCAGATCTTCAAAGCTAATGATCTTATTTCCACTGAGTTCCCTGATCAGTTCCACTGACGGACTTAGTTCCTATTTTAATTTAATGACTAGATAAATCCTGAGTAATTTTGGATTTAGATTTGTGAGATTAGTTCTATGGCATCTGATTACTTCCTTCTTACACACTATGTCTTTGGGTAGGGAGTTGTGCTTGGTTCAGGATTAAAATGCTAGAGTTCAGCTTCTCCCCAATTAAGGATAACCGAGAAAGCACAGACAGATACAGCATAGAGTCCAGTCAGTTACACAAACATTTAAGCTTTCTTGAAGATGCTGCTTTATTTATTAATCTATAGAATTTGGCAACGAAATTCCTCTCTTTAAAACTTTAAAAACACAGAACATTTTTACAGAATCATAGAGCCAATGGAAAGGCCTTACAATCATCTGGCCCAACCTCCCTCTCTAATTTAGTAATCACACAAAGAGGATGAGCACAGGAGATAAGTTTTCTTCAGCCTGACCGTGTGGACAGCCTATCGGCAATGATTTATTATTGAAGCCTTCCCATAATCATTTGATTATTTTGGTGTCATTTTGAAAAATGGTTTCTGATAGAGTTTACTCTTTCAGGCATCAGAATAATTGATATAAAATTATTTTAAAGGCTCCAACTAATTCTATAAAGGAAATTCACCTTGAATGGGCAGGCAAGTTAATTGCTATGACTAACTCATTAGGGAATAGCCCTTTGTATAAACATGAAGTATCACCTTCTAGTAAATTATATCAGATGGAAATTACAATTATAATATGTATTTGGGTGTTTTTGAATAAAAATTTTATTTTAGCAATTTCTTGTTTGGATATTGAATCTTCTCTTTGCATGTGAAAATACCCCAAAAAGCAGACAGAACACAGAAAAGGGTCACTCACCAGTTAAAGCCATTCCAGCTATTATGATTCCCTCCAAAATTTCTACTCGATGGAATAATACTTTGGAATCAAGGTAGGAAGTCCGCTTGTGCTTTTTGAAGGCATATTTCAGAATGCACTTTGTTGTCCACCAAATCCCCAAGATAAAGAAGAAGGTTCCAGGGAGAGCATGGCCTTTGAAATTCCCCATGACTACCAAAATAAGAACATATAGAAGATGAAGACATTTCATCTCCAGAATTTGGCCAAAACATCGCTTATTCCTGTAAAGTACACTATCTTCTAATGATCATGGATACACCTCTGAGTCAGAGGATCCAGTATCACTGTCGACAGTGGTAGATCCATTACAATATCAACAATACCAAAAAGAGGAAAAATCCACATTCGTTGAACACTTACCTTGTTCTAGGCACTGTGTCAAGTGTTTTACATGTGATCTCTAATCTAATTTTCACAACATACCCATGAATGAGGGGCTAAGTCACATTTTCAATTGGGATTCAGGTTTAGAGAAGTGAAATGACTTACCTAAATCTCACAACTATTTTTGAAAAGTTTCATTGTTTTTAACAGGGGGCTCAAAAGATCTATTAAAAATGATAGTGTGTACTCAACGAACACTTACACTTTAAGCATATTTGAAAGAAAGTAACAGGAAAGTTTTACCTTTATGCTTAAAACTTGAAATGATATGAAATTGCCTACAAAAAATTTTAAGCAGGTAATTTCAAAGTATCAAGCATCAAGTGTGTGGAAGAGACCATTAGGGCTCATCAAGTATCTGTATACTCTTCCATGCACTTTTCCCAGCCCCTTCTCCATTTGAGTCAGAACCACGTTTCTAGTTCTGGCCAATGGACTGTGGCATTTGTCACTTCCAGGCTGAGTCAGTTAAGAGACTATATGGCTCCTTTAACTCTCTTTTCCCATGCTTTGGCAACCTTGGCATGGCATATCGGCAACATAGAAGACAGTCAACCAGCCTGCATCAGATTTTTGCAAGAAGCAACCCTTTATTGTGTTAAGTCATTAAAATGTTGAGGTTTAACAGCTTAACCCAGCCTATCCAGAGGGATACCAAGCCAAATCAATTTGTAAATTCTGTTTACACTATTGCTACATGATCGAGCAATAAAAAACAGAAATATCCTCCTTCTTTTTTGGTCAGTGCTATAGAAAACCAGTTTTGAATTATATGAGTTTTGAATTATGTGAGCAGCCCTTTCTTCAAACATATTGTACCATCTACAGAATAACGAAAAGAGAGTTCAGAATCATCCCTGTGGATCAGAGTAGGCCAGATGCAGGAGAACTCATGAAAGGGGATTTCAGGGTTCCCCCTGGCCCAGAAGAGTTCTTTATCTCCTTGGGTGGGTACTGGACCTCTCAGTTCGGGGCAGATCCCTCTGAGTTACTTCCATATCCCTCTGACACAACTGTGAAGTTTCAAGGGGGAACTATGAAGCTGACTCAAACACTAGAAGTCTGTTAAATCTCCAATTGAGACTCCAAATGGACATTTCAGCACACCCCTGAATCATCCATACCATCAAGAGACTCTGACTCAATGTATCACACAGTGCTAAGAGCAGCTTCTTATCCTAACTCTGACTCTGTTAGACGTATGGTTTGGACTATGTCCCTTAAGCTCTCTGAGCCTTGGCTCTTAATTAATAAAGAAAGAGGTGGCCTAGATGACACCTGGAGTTCCTTCCTGCTCTAACAGATTCTGTGATTCATTATCCTAACCACCATCTTTATCATAGTGTTACTGAGTCCTCTTATTTGTCTTGGCTTAGACAACCACGTGAAATTGAAAAATGCTTCTACATGGGATTGAAAAGTACATCTCGACTGTAAATTTTTTGAACTTTTCTGGAAAAGAATTTGATATGTTCTAAGGAACCTTAAAAATTTTACATTCCTTGGTACAGGAAATCCACTTCCAGGACTTTATCCTAAAGGTCTAACCAGAAATACAGGCACCAAATTAGAAACAATATATATGTCTAAAATTAGGAGATAGGGGATATATTTAGTAAAAATCAAAAATAAAAAGAATAGGATTTTTTAAAAACTGAGGAGAGGGGACGTTGGATTCAGGTTGACTAGATCTGAATCCCAACTTTACCATTTACCAGCTACATGACTTAGGGAAAGTTATTTAACCTCTCATGCCTTAGTTTCCTCTTCTGTAAAATGAGACAAATTTAAAGTTAAAATGAGTTATTCCAAAGCAAATAACCCACAGTATTATTAAACAAACTCATGCTATCCTCAACCCATCTCAAACTATGAAAGTAAAACAAGAGTAAAACCAGATGAGCAATTCTACTTGGATACCAATTGCAGAAAAGCAAGAAGCACCTATACAATTCACTTAGCAATCATTTGTGTACTGCCTATAACATTTCTCCTGCTGTTGTCTTAGAGTGTTACTAGAATCTTCAGGGGTTATTTAACTCCTTGACTGCAATTAAAGAATAAGCTCCTTGGGCTTCCCTGGTGGCGCAGTGGTTGAGACTCCGCCTGCTGATGCAGGGGACATGGGTTCGTGCCCCAGTCCAGGAGGATCCCACGTGCCGCAGAGCGACTGGGCCCGTGAGCCATGGCCGCTGAGCCTGCACGTCCGGAGCCTGTGCTCCACAATGGGAGAGGCCACAACAGTGAGAGGCCTGCGTACTGCAAAAAAAAAAAAAAAAAAAAGCTCCTTGAAAGCAGAAACCATAAATCTATTCTTCTATTCCCCACTGAACCTATATAGTGCCTTATACACTGTGAAGTTCTAACTTAACAAGAGTAACTAAGCCCTTCTTATAACACAAGATCAGATATTTATACAACACCTCCATTGAACTAATCATCTACCCATCCATTACCAGAAAATAATTTTTCCTCCAGTTACCACCATTCACCCACTTGCCCAAACCCAAAATGTTAAAGTCATCCTAAAGTCCACCTATGTCCCTGAAAACTAATTGGTTATCGATACTTACTGCCTCTGCTTCCTTATGTCAACCCTCTCCTGCCCCAAACTTGGCTGACTTCCCCTAGCCTCTTCAGTTTTATCTGCTTGGGGAAATCCTCCCTGATGGCCCAGATAGGAGAGGACCGCTCTCATACCTTCTCAAAGCACCCAGTTCTTACTTCAATGAATTCTTTGTGTGATTAGTTACTGGAAGTCTGCCTTCTCCATTAGCCTGTGAAATTTCACTATATTGTGAAAGCCTGTGAAGCAGGTACTTGAGGTTTCTCAGAGGTTAGGAGCCTGGTCCTGTTTTTTGTTTGTTTGTTTGTTTGTTTTTTAAGGCTTCTGGTATATGAAAAAAAGGAAGAAAATTCCAAAACAGAGTTACCAAAACTGTGCTTGCTTTTAAATGTTTACTTTTACCTAATAAATACTTTGAACACACACGTGAAACATATTACCTATCTTGGAGATAACATGAAAATTTCTGAATTGTGCAGCTCTAGGCCAAATCCACCTCTATGACCAGTTAACAGGTTCCTGCTGCCCCAAAGGCTGAATGGACCAATATATCTCAGCACAGCCCATTGGGATGTGATACGGAGGCAATGGGGAATAGTTGAAAGATTCTGAGATGAGCAGAGTGGGATAAGAAATGACTCCTCGGGCTTCCCTGGTGGTGCAGTGGTTAAGAATCCGCCTGCCAGTGCAGGGGACACGGGTTTGAGCCCTGGTCTGGGAGGATGCCACATGCCATGGAGCAGCTAAGCCCATGCACCACAACTGCTGAGCCTGCGCTCTAGAGCCCGTGCTCTGCAACAAGAGAAGCCACTGCAATGAGAGGCCCATGCACTGCAACAAATAAAAGTAAATAAATTTTTTTAAAAAAAAGAAATGACTCCTTGTTCTTATATCAGTTATAGAACTTCTGTATCTTTAGCCTTTTAATCTGAAACACTCTGATGCTTCCAATCTTTCTCTGTTTAAAAGACCCAAACAAAATGAAGTCAAAGCAGCTTGTTGTATTTGCCTGGCTAAGGGACCAAGCAGACCCAGTTGCTCCTGGCAACAAAATGGCATTCACTTGATTTCACTTCCACTGTGGAGAGAAAAAAATCACTCAAATCCTCAAACATCACTTCACTCAACTTCTAGAACACCACTCTCTGTATATTTGTCTTTTTTTACCTGTTTTTCTATTGCCTACGGGTACAACTCGCTGCTTATGAAAAACTAGTAGTACAGAGTTTAATTAGATCTCAATCAAAAAAGCAGACACATTGCCCTTGGAAGGAGAACACAGGGCTTTCCTCTTTCACAAAGCAGAACATACCTGCCAGACAACTAGCAGAAACCCCAGGGAAAATCACCAGGATAGCAAACCGAAAGGTCCTTCCTCAACATCCTCCCTGCTTAATCGCACCATTTGTAATCTCGTGGGGAAAGAGGTTCAGGCAGGCCTAAAATGGTGGGCTTCAAGATTCAATCACTGGCTTCCAGCTGCCATTCATCCTAAAAATGTTTATTCCTCCCCATCTAAAAAAACCCTCTGCTCCTAATGACACCAACCATCACCCTCTGGGCTAAGACAAGAAGCAACTCCTAAAACCCTCATTGGCTCCTTTTTTCTGACCACTGCCATATACACACACTCACTCACCACCCAAAAATATTTTTAAACTCTAGCACTTGGGGATAATATTGGGCAAATCTCAAGATCTAAATCAGGTGTTAGGTGTTAATTCCCATTAACCAAAGCCACTTAAACCAAAAACCAGACCTGTGTACAGAAAGAGGAGAGAACTCAAAATAGCCCAGAGAAAGAAATCCTACAATTTACTTGGAATCTCAACCAAATATCTAACTTCAATATAAAATGAATACCATGGAGAAAAACTTAAACTAAAAATTCGTCTTGAGCCAGCACCAAAATAAAGTATCCCTAAATCTTAATTAGTGACTCATATTTCAAGACATTTATATATTCCAATACATTAAACAAATTAGAGCTATTTCTTGAGCTCACTTTACCATTTGCCTTAATTCTCAAAGCAAAGTGTATACAAGCATATATAGCTTTAAATTTTTTTGATTCTCCATCATTCCATACCAGTTCTTTCTCTCCAAAATTTCAACTGTTTTGAAAGACTATTCTTAGTTAAATTATCCTTACCGTCACCCTTTCCTCAGTGTCAAGTCAAATGCAATTCTCTTCTCCCAG